TTTTGGAGATCTTCAAGTGCACGAACTCTAGCTGATTTATAAGAAGGATGTTTTGGAGAACATACAATTCTTAATAACAAGTAACAAGCTATTCAAGAAAATATGTGTGGAAAAAGGAAACCCGTAAGTATTTCAGAATAATATTTTACTTGTCTCTTGCACTTTTTATCATGGTTAACAAAGCCTCAAGTTGATCGCCAGAATTAAATAATTAGTAGTTGCACTAAATGTCAACTTTTTAACCTCCTAAATTATCTTCAAAAAATCAGAACAAAGACGAGTGTTCAGAATGTTAACCTTCCTCAACAAGGATTCAATAGTAGAGGTGGCAATGAAATCCATTTAGATAATATTCATCCAATCCATCCAATAATTTATTCATCCAATCCATCCATAAGACAAAAAATAATTTAATGGATTTGATCCAATCTATCCACTAACTCATATGGATGGATTCAATCCATCCATCTCATATTATAAATTCATTGGATATTAGGTTGTCACTTATGAAATTTAAAAAATAATTAAGAATATTAATTTTTTTTGTGAAATTTAAGTTTTTTTTACGAAATTTAATAAATAATTCAAAATATTTAAATTATGTTTCTATGAAATTTAAAAAATAATTAAGAGTTTTTAAATTAATTTTTTGGATGGATGAATATCCATCCTTTAGAAGTATGTTAATAGATGGATTGGATGAATTTTATCTTTTAATTGGTGGATTGGATTGAATTTTTATTAAGAGAGTTTAGTGGATTGTTAATGGATTAATAGATTGTTTTGATCCATCAATTAACAATCCAATCCATATCCATTCAGTCCATCCATTTTGTCACCTCTACTCAATAACTCCAATCTAGGAAGACACCTTTGAACCATTAACAAATGGCAGTAAAAGGTTTCTTGGGATTTGACATAGTTCCAACTAGATAATCAAGCTCTTGGAACAATTGAACATAACAAGAGAATAATCAACAACTACATCAATTACCAAAACATTGTTATAGTGGAAAATAGAGGATTGTTGCACAAGTCCCACATTATTTTAGGTAAAATTAGCATAAGTGTTTATGAATCTCATTCACACACAACCTTATGTAATCATTGTTTTATTTTGTATTTAATTATTAATTTATTTTATTAGGTAGAAAATATTAACTAATAAACAATATTATTGCCAAGTCATTAAAAATAGTTTTTTTTAGCTTAGTCATTCTTGTCAAGTTATAAAAAATATTTTTTTTAGTTTAATCAACAATGTCACGTATGTAATAGTAGAGGGAGACCAACATAATAAAAATAAAATTGAGTGATTAAAAAACTGAATTTTAAAATAGAAAGACTAAAAAAAATTAAAATCGGCTATATAGAGTGAGACCAAAAATGCATTTAAGAAAAGAAAAAATCAAATTATAATTGTGTTCCCCACATCGTTAAGATTAGGGACAGGAATAGACTGGTCAGAGTTAGGCTTTTCCAAGCCTAAGTCTGGTTTGTCAAAAAACTTGAATCTTAAGTCTGACATGTAGTTTGTTATATGCTTATTTATGTGCATGAATATGACTTTTTCGAAGGTCTATTTAATTTGTTGGCCTACATAAAAGTCTATTTCTTTTAGGCATATGTAAATAATCAATTCAAATAATGTTTAAATTGACTAACAAACTAAATGACCAATGAGATTAAAAATTTGTTTGCATTGACTTATTTTAACTTAACTATTAGTATAAGTTTTATGAGTATATCTATTTAAGAGAACTTATGAAAACAACTTATGTCATTGTTCATAAGGTGTTTTCATCTTATTTTCATAAGTTCTACAAAATAACCATTTTGATTATGTATTTTAATTCAAAGTATAAAATATAACATAATGATGATAAAAAAATAATTCATATTTATTTAAATAGGCAGTCTGATAGGCTTAAAATATTTTTTTAATTGTCTGAGATTTAACATTTTTAACTAAATAGGCTTATAAAAAAGTACAAATCTTTTTTATTTAAAAAAAAAAAAAAAGAAACTGACTTAACCTGGATCTGTATAGGTTAGACCGTAAGTCCCTGCTAGTCGGACTGGTCTATTCCAACCCCTAATTACAATGATTTTATTTTTGCAAAATTTGAAAAAGGTGAAATTAATAAGATTGGGATTTGCTAAAATAAGTTAAGAACTCTAAATTAGTTTTTGAGTTCTCTTTTACTCCAATTTTAATTAACTTTTAATTTAGAAAAAAAAAACAATTATTTTCCTACAACCACACAATAAATTACATTGACATTTTAATTAAATTATTTCATCTAATATATTTTTCTTAAGGCAAACAAGCTTATGTTGTTTCATTTATAATAACATCACGAATATAATTTGGTATAGTCTCAAATACTTTAAAATTGGTCATATATCGATTTGAATTGAAATATCTTTGATCAGGCTCAAACAATTCGGCCCATCAATAATCCTCTTTGTTCTAGGAAAGAAGAGTGAAAAACAAAGTCATTATCATTGTTCGCTTCGTTGTTAGAGCTACTAGAACTAAATTTGCAACTCCCAAATATCCCTAGCTCGACAAGCTTCCAATCAACCTTTCCATCAAGTCGTCTTGAAATCTCTAAATAAAAATTCCACGTCATACATATCTCCCTCACACGTTCTAGGCTCTACTTAATCATTATTTTCATCACACTCTCTAATGAACATCATACCTAAACATTTTAAAAGGAAAAATCTAAGAGAAGCAGAATAAATACCTATTGTAAAGATTCTCTTGAGGAAATGCTGGATAACCAAACTAGTGGAAGAAAAATATAAGTTATACTACATAAAGGAAGAATATTGTGGAGAATATTAAAATGGAAAGATTGAGAGTCATAAATTTAATAAGGAATGTTGTTCCCCCATGTCCGAGTAGACGGTCTTAGCCATCATTGTTAAGACAAGACATCGAGAACCCTAATTTCAAGCGTGAAGACAAACGAACGACCAATATTATTTGGTCATTCTTGAGTTGGTTTTAATAATTTTGCTACATTAACTGCACCATTAATTCTAAAGTTTATTCATTAACTTTAATTAAGTTGCCATCAACTCTCATCGAACGTCACGACCATGAATCGAACTAGAAGTCACATGCCTATCAGTAAGTCAGTCGATGTTATCATTGAACATGCCCTTAATCACTTTGTCCTTACATGCTTTATGTTTGAGGGACTGTGGACCGAAATTTTCTTGCTTAACCATTTTTCCCTTACAAACTTTGTGCTTAATAGAATGTGGTTTGGAGTGTTCTCGTTTAATCACTTCGCTCTTACAGGTTTAGTGCTTGAGGAACTGTGGACTAGAATATGCCAAACCCGAACAACTCGACCCATCAACTCTCCCAAATTTAAATGACATGCAGAATATTTGGATAATAAGTGGTGAAATCACGCCATATGATCATGCTCTCCCACCCTTTGTGTGTCGTATTTCGTAGAAAGATGTGTTAAACCACATGTTAAGTGGGTCAAACGAGACTCTTTCGATCAATAACCAAAGTATTCTTTGGTCATGGGGATTGACCATATCTCCTACATTAAAGTATGTTTCACCTTAGTCGTTCAACTAGTGAGTTAAATCTAAAAAACGTGTAGTTATTTTTATAGGAATTAGAACTGGTCTCTCCATTGGCTCATTTATTAGAGGCTCACATATATAAATACATTGTTAGGCAGCTGGGAAGATACATTCACTTTTTAAAAGAGATTAGAATTTAAAGCCCTATTGTTAAACAAGTACAAGGCCCACGACAAGTGTAATTAGGCATTAGTCTGCATTGATCTAATTCCTCCCATAAACCTCTCAATTCGATGAAATAATTTAAAATCTTCTTGTTACCTTGTTTCAAAATTGTAATCTCTTAGTGTAATTGAGCAACTCTAATGTGATCTCCTCTCATGAAATGATCCTTAAGATCATCCCACGTGTCTATGGCATTACCAATGAACACCACACTTTATGCAGTCAATTATGTGATGGAATTGATAATCCATGTATGAACTAGATTGTTGCACCTTCTCCAAACCGCTAAATTCATATTTACCTCATCAAGAACTTGGGTCGATTCATCCACGAACTTGAACTTGTCCTTCATTGCCAATGTTCTTCTCATCTTCATTAACCACACATGATAACTGTCGTCAAATAGATCTGGTGTGACACAAACAATTGATGAATTTTATGAATGATGCACATAGTAAGGATCAAGTTTCTCTTGAACTTGATTTAACAACACTATTGTTGTTATTTCTCACTATGATCTCGATCTTCTCACAAACATGAAAAAAAGTACTTATGCAACACTCCTCTAATTGATTTAATCACCGTATATGATTAACCAAAAATTTCAATAGCACAAAGGAAGCAGAGTAGGATGAATCTGATATGATTTCATCAAAACAACTTTCATCAACAGAAAGAGATTATATATATATATATATATATATATATATATATATATATATATATATATATATATATATATATATATATATATTTTCGTGTGACTAATCTAAAAACATCAATCTCACTTACCGCTAGTAAGGATTCGAACCTAATAAGTAATACTTAAGAGATTTTGACCAAAAATTATTATTCAATCATTTAGGATTGATTTTTTTAATATATAACATTCAATAAACTTTTTTACACCTACATCAAATTTACTTTTGTAAAACGATTTTGTTTTACTATGCAAAGGATATGATGACGAATTTAACAAAAAAAAGCATATAGTACTACAACCCAACGCTCGGCAAAACAGTGTGAGTGACTGAGAAAGACACGGTGGTGCAACTTCAATCGCCGGAGTCCACCACCATATACTCCCGAATCAATTCTGCAAATCTATTTTCCCTTTCCGATCCGATTTTTCAATCATCACCTAATTTCTCGGCAACCAAACAGGTTACACAGCTTCATTTCATTTCCATTTGGTGGGTTTTCCCGCGCCTCCAACCATGGAAGCCACCGACAACTCATCAGAATCCACCGTAAAAAATGTACAAATTTTTTTTTCATATATCCATTCAATTCGTTTTTATTTTTCATTTTCTTTTCAATTTATGATTGTTTGCATAGCTTACCATTATCTATCACTAGAATAAACGATTGTTATGTTACCAATTTTTTATCAATTTCGTTTAATTTATTAAAACTTTCCTTAATTAGGGTTCTCAAAGACTACCTGGTATGGTTAATTGGGGCACAGCAACTGTTATTGCAATGTTTGCAGGCATGTTATATGGTGGTAGCAGAGAGGCATCTTCTTCTGTTGTATGTTTATGACCTAATCCTCTCAAACTCTGCTTCAGTACCGATCTCACTGCATTTATTTACTTATTCATAGATAAGAAATCTTTTTTAAGGATAGAATTATATGTTGTGGTTTTTTATGAATTTCGGAGCCCAAAAACTAAAATATCGGCTGATAATTTTACCATTGCGGCGAGCCCAAAAGCCGCTACTGATGTCTGACATGGTTGATATTCTATAACACTTGGTACAAGCCGTTTTGCGTAATCTGTATTTCTTGTTGGGAATTTTGAGGAACTAGTGATGTAAAAAAGAAGATACAAACCCATTAGGTGAAGACCATGAGGATATCGCAGATATTCCAATCCTTTAACAGATTATTTGGCATAAATTTATGTTTGAGCTTGTATAGTTTAAGAATCTAAAATAAATTAGACATGGGTTATTTTGATTGGTGGGTTGGAAATATAGTAGATCATAAACTTTTATCTGGTTATTGTTTTACATTGTTATCCTTTACTCTTCTTCCAATTTTCCCTCATGTTTGGAGCAACGTTTCTTCTTAGAAACAGATGACTAAGCCAGTTCTTTTCTTTAATTTGCTTCAGTCTTCTGTCCCGTGTAAGCGTTATAGATTTTCAAACCATCTAGTGTAAAGTTTTAAAAATAAATCTTCCACTTCCATGAACTATACATTTTAACTATTTTCTTTATGTTGTATTGCTGTTTAGCTTAGGATCTATTTACTCTGCCTCTTTGTAGTTGTGCAATGATTACTACTTCTAAATATTCCTTCTCAAAGAGAAAAACAAACACTAAATGTTCTAGCCCTCCAATGGAAGGGCACTTGATTGATAGAAATCTCTGCTCGTGCATGTAGAGTCGCGGTGAAACTAAAATATGTTCATAATTTACAATTTTACATCTAATGCTATAAAACCTGTTGGACTTTCCGCCTTAATTGTGGTCCGCCCCTAGTTGCCTTAATTGTGGCACTTTGGCTTGCCTCATTGCAGCCCCTAACACCTTCATTGTGTTTGCTTTGAAGGGGTGAATTTAGTCCCACATTGCTTAGTGATATGGCCTGTGTTGTGTTTATAAATGGGGGCAATCCTCACCTTACAAGCCAGTTTTGTAGGGATGAGTTAGGCCCAACCCAAACTCTGAGAAAACCTATCTCAGCCTTTGCAAACATTTGTTTAGAAATAAATATAACTACCCTTACAAACACTATTGTTGATTATACATTCTGTTTCTTGCCAACTGTGTAAATATCAACATTGCATGTCTATATTATCACATACAACTGTGGCAATCCCATGTTTTGCCAGAGCAAGGATGCAGAAGTGATGTTGAAACTTGGGAGCACAGAAGACAAACGAGCTCAATATCGATTGATGAGAGATGCAATGGAGAAACGTTTCATTCGAGTTACACGAGGCGCACTAGTTGGAGGGGTACGGCTTGGAATGTTCACTGCTGCATTTTATAACATACAAAATTTGCTTGCGGAGAAGCGAGGAGTGCATGATGTTTTCAATGTTGTGGGAGCTGGATCAGCCACTGCTTCAGCTTTTGGTTTAATAAGTAAGAAATCATACTCAATGTGGATTCTATAATGTTACCTAGGCTGTATGACAAAAAAAGTTAACTACTCTATTTTGATTTTCTAACACGCCAATTGACTCTATATCTTGTGATAGGATTCTTTAGGTTATATACTGGGGGAAATGGCTGCATGTCATTAAATTACTTTGTTAATGTATGGTTTTTCCTTTATGTTAGTGCCAGGATCTTTCCGTTGGCGTGCCAGGAATATGGTACTAGGATCAGTACTGGGAGCAGCATTTTGTTTTCCTCTTGGTAACTATATTATTTCTGAGTATTTGTCTTTCTTAATCACTTAAAGGAGAAAGCTCTGTTAGAGTTTTATTGCCATTATTACTTTTGTAGTGACCCACCACCAATTTAATTAAAAAATCAGTTTTTGACTATCTCTCTCAAAACAGGATTTTCTCTCTTGTTAGCAAGTAAAAGAGAAGATCCAAAATTGTTATTCAAGTGTTTAACTGATTTATGCATCATAGTTATATGGCTATTTAAAATTGTGTTTCCATTAATTGTTTGGCAGGTTGGGTCCATTTGAAGATGGTAGAAATAGCTAATGAAGAGAATTCAGAGGCACATTCAGATCAGAGAGAAGTAAAGAGTGGTGTTAGTGCTGCAATTGAGAGGCTTGAAGGAAATTTAAGAAAATGAAAGAAAGCTGTTGTTAGGTCTGACATCATACCCTTTGCACCTCTTGTCATTTTTATTTTCTCAGAGAAGGGTGTAATATAGTGCTGGACAATGAGGAAAGCATTTCAAATGCTACTCATATCCTCTTGTAGAAAAATTAGTTATAGTTCAGTAATTTAGCATCAGGGTTTTTCAGTTGAGATTATTAGTTCAAACCGTTACTATATTTTTTGCTTAGTTCAAATCGTTACTGTGTTTTTCTGAAGAATCCAAGTTTTAATCTGACTAGAATAATTATTGGTCAGACTTTGCTTATGTCTCAGTCAAATTTTGAACTCTCATTTCAAATACACTAAATTTATGTATAAGTGAGTAACACTCTTATTTTATTAAAAAAATGAAAAAAAAATAAGACAAAATATTTCCAAAAACATTTCAAGAGATGTCATTTTAGATGAAGTTCTAAGTCTTGATGGGATGAAGATTAATGATATTGCAACAAGATCAATATGTTAACTTTTTGAATTTTTTTTTCTAAATCATCTAATTCAATCTTTCTAGGACTCTAATTAATATTTGCATTCATATACATAATTGGGAATAGATTAGAGTGATATTTTTAGATTTTCATACAGTGATTTTCCAAATTCAATTAGGAAAAGTCTGTCATTTAAATTTTAGCAATATCTTAAATAATTAGGATTATACTCTCTTCTCCTTTTTAAAATGAACGTTTTTTAATAATATTGTCATTAAATATTACATTTTTACAATTTTACTGATCTAATCTTATAAATTTGTTAGAAATAAATATAATAATACTATCAAACATTATATGTTTATTAAGTTAACCTTATAAATGTGCTTAAAATTAATGTACAAAATAATAATTAAAAAATAGAAAAAAAAAATTACATAAAAAATTGAAAATGACATCATTTTAAACTAAATTTTATTTGTTAAAACAATGATCATTTTAAAACAGTTTCAATGTTTTAAAAAATAAAAAAAAATAAATAAATAAATAAAATAAGAAGAAAAAAGAACTTATAAAATCCGCACAAGAAAAACTCTTCACAAACTATACTCTTTTACTCATGTGCCGGATATCTCCGAGGAGAAAGAATTTGCATTCTTTTATACAAATAATTTCAATACTAAATTATTCAATTGATTTTGTATAATATTTGTGTCATAGTTTATTGCTATAATTTTAGTATCAAAATTTTGAATTTTCAAAGTAATTTTTTTAATTTATAATCACATCAAATTTATTTATCATTGGTATAATTGTCAAATGATTGTCGTGCCTCAGCATTATTTTAACATCATGTTAAACTTTATTTTTTTCTTCCAATATTTTAAATAAATTAATATGTGGGGATAAATTAATATGTGGGGAAGAAAGTTGAGGAAGCTACAAAGTTTGTCCATGAATAATACAAATCATCTAGGAATAAAATTAAAGAATACAAAACTTGCAAAGTAAATACCACATTTGCTGTAAACTTGTAATCTTTGGTAACCGTAAGTATCAACAAACAGTGAATTTTCCTAACAATACTATGATACTAACTATAAATTACTCATTTGTCCATTGTCAAAAAAAAACACTACTCATCTGCCATGGTTGACTCCCAAAGTACACCCTTTCTATTTTACTTTCTCAGGCCACGGAATACCTGTGAACTTAACATTGTTAAGTATCCAGCTTCTTAAGCTACTTCAGTGAAATATGACATGGGTCTTAGCCTGCAAAGATACAGGGAGATTCATAGTAAGAAGCTGCAATATTATATTTTGGAAATACTCTTTATACTATACCACCAAGCTAGACTTATTCAACAGTTTGTATTCCCATCATATTCAAACATAGGAGGAGCTGCACTCTGACAACTAACAATGGTAGAATCTATATACAGACAAACCTAACAAAAATGACCCTCCCCCGTCTTAAAAGGAATACAACACTTAAGGATCCAGTGTGACTGGATTTAAGTATTCAGAATACAACCGCCTTTGCAATAGCAGTTGCTTTATTTTATTTTTTACAACTTGTGGTTGATAACCAAAAGATATTAACATGTGACAAATTTAACAGAATGAGATTAATGCGGCGTTTCTTATGTTCAATAAGAAAGGGTATATACAGAAACTACCATTAACTTGTCCAGAAATTGCATCGTCTGCCTTCTTTTCTGACTTTGCCTTCTTTTCTGACCTTTTTACTGCCTCAGCTGAAACCATAAAAGTTTGTTTATTAATAATGGAGTGAATGAAGAGATCCAGCCTGTGTGGTTGGAAGAAAATACTGGGTAACATTCCTCGTGTAATTAGCATAATATGGTATGCAACTTTACATAAAGACAAGTATGAAAGTATTGAAACGATAATCAATATGTCCGCCACAGGCTAGACATCAGGCAGATACTTCCTTTGTCTAACCAATCATACCTTTAAATTTTCTTTTCTTATTAGCTCTCCTCCTTTTCCTTTCTGCCTGTGTAAGTTCTGCTTCTTCTTTAAGATCACCCTTACCATCAAAAACCTCCTCAGGGGCCAGCATAGCAGCATCTGAAACAGCTACAGGAGCAATCTACCGATGGAAAGTATAGTGCATTGTAAGTAACTAAAGAGTAGAATCAGAAATAAATTTTTGAGAAAAGAATAGCTTTTTACTTCTTCCATTGCCAGAGCAGGTACATTCGTTTGAAAGCACATGTCCTCTATAACCTGTGAAATTCATTTAAGAAAAATAAAAAGACAGAAAAATTTAAATGTTCCAGCATATTGTTTATTAAGAAAAAATAGGAATGTTAATGTCATACCGGTTTTGGAGCAAAGTTGAAATGAGAAAGGGCGTCCAGTTTTAAACAGATCTTCTTAAACAGGATGCTAGCCTGATCAAAAGTAAGGGCACAATATTAAGTGTGTGGCAAAATTCAAAAAGAATAACTACACAACCAGATTGAGAGCTGCTCCAAGGTTACTGCAAGTACACGAGAAATAAAACCCAACCAAAAGATGAAGAGGTTAAATAGTGGTAGAAATGAAGTAAAGCAATCAAGTGTTCCACCTCATTTTTTAGTTTATCTCTAGCTGACAATGGAGCAGAAGTGGGGTCAATCTTCTGAACATATTCTTGCTGTGAAATTTAAAATAAATAAAAAACAAACATCAGAGGAAAATCACTAAAAAAATAACAAAATGTATGAGTAGGAATTAGAGGTCAAATACAATTTCCAGTGTTGAACACAGTCAAGAAATACCTCATAAATCTCTGCAAGACCCTGCTTGCTTTTATTATCATCCTGCATTACATGTCAATGCCTTGCACAAATTAGTAAACATAAACTTGGTAGTACATAAACAAATTAGTAAACAAATTAGTAAACATAAACAAGGCTTACCAATTCTTTAACTTCCCGAGGCGCTTTCGAGGGCAATTTAGAAGCTCTTTGGACATCATCAAATCTCCCCTGAAAGAAACGCGTAGAAAGAAACGCGTAGAAAGAAACATGTACGTAAATAAGAAACAACAGATAATGTGTTCTTTGTTTATGCATTTTTACATGGGTCTCTCGCATAACTTGGTAGTAATGCTATAATTATATTAACACCCTGATAAGTAAGAATAAATAAATATTATGTTGCTTATAAATTAAAAAGGGGTTAGTGAATGAGCATCTTGATAATTAAGTGATTTGCACCCTTTGACTTTGGGAGGTCGGCAGACCCATCAAAGAACTGCCGTTGTTCTCTTCTCTCATTTCCGATAATATGATACCACATACTATCATTGGTGTCAGAGTTCCTTTGAATACAGAAAACAGTTCAAAACCCAACAAAAATGAGAGATCCACTACTTATTATTGATAAGCTCGTCATAAAAGATTAGAGATTGAAGAAGAAGAAGATGCTTATGGGTAGTTGTTCAAGGTTGACAAATATTTCATCGCAGAAGGCATATGTGAAGAAGGGCACATACTAGAAGTTGTGCAGATGAGTGACCAGACCCTCCACATTTTCAAATATGGAGGGTTGGATTTTAATCATTCCCTCGAAGAGTGGGGTTGGAATTTAATCAAACCCTTGAGGAGCTGTCATTGTTTTGGTAATCTAAGGGAATTTCTCCCATATTCCAGTAATAGGACACAGATTCTACTGACACACCCAATTTTGTATAGAAATTTTACATGATGTCATCCATATATAGTTTCCACCCTTGTGTAAATAACAAGTGGTAACACAATGCATTGTAGTAGAAGATTAAATTATGTTATCATGGAACAATAATTTACCTCAATAATCCTTTTCTTGATCATTTCCTCAATTGAAGAATTAATTTCCTCAGTCATTACAGGAGGAGGTCTCACATTATGCTGAAAGTCAATATCAACTTCCAAAGCACTATTCAAGGGTCTCTTTGCAGCAGTTACCTGTTATAAAATCAATAATAAAAGAATATAATGACGGATTAAGAGAAAGGTTCTACATATGCAACTTATAAAAAGGACAGATACAAAAATTGGGGAATGTGATATTACCTCGCCCATCATAGTCCAAGTTTTTGGCTCTATGTTAGCTTTCTCCATCAGCTTTATGTTTGATTGAATTTTTTCCAGCTGCTTTTCATGGGTAGAAGCGGTCCTTATCTTCTACATACACGAGTAAAATAACATATGAAAATTTAGTTTTAAAAACAAATAAACATCTTCACATCACAATCATGTGTGTTTGTATAAACCTCGAGATACACAGAGATACCTGTTTGTCAGATTCCATGTCATCTTTAACATCAAAATCTTTAGTTTTCTCAAACAATTGGTCTTTCCTTTTTGAGCCCTTTTCTTTTTTACCTCCAAAGAAGTCTTCATACCTGAAAGCAGCGAATGAAAAAATAAACCCCACATACGGATACATATAAAAACATCTAAATTAGTAATAAAATTCAAGGAGATATATAATTAAGCAGTGGCATCCAGACAGTTTCATAACATATGGCTGGATTCAACATTTACACGAATAACATGTAAGCAAATATACCCCACAGCACACAGCATACAGAATAAATAATAGTAGTAAATTGCATTCAGGTCGCCTAACTGCTTTTCTTCAGTATCCTCAGGCTGCAATTTAGATTAATTAATTACGATAATAAAGACAAAAGTATTTCATAAGAGTGGTACTAGCTACATCGATTAAACTGATTATATCGGGTTCCCTATGAAACAGGACCTTCGGAGAGCATTTAAATCCCAATCCTGCTAATTTCGCTAGTTTTTTTGGTATTCCTCTACTTTTATTAATTACATCACCCTTTAGCTTAGCTAATCAATAATTTATGAATGGACTTCTAGTAATCATCCTCTCAAATGACAAAACTGGATGTGATTCTACCATCTTTTCCTCAATAAAAGTTATTAGTTTTCTTAGTAATCTTGCTCTCACTTCATGACAAACTAGATATATGCAGTAGTATGGGGTGAACAGTTAACTACCCCCAGCAACACCACCAATGCATAACATATTATCATAGCAAGTGTAAAACATCATAATCAATTTTTGTACGTATTAATATATGCATAAACATTAAATGCTTTGATATCCTTGTCCATGTATTACCACAAGAGTGCTATCCGAGAATAAGACATTTGAAAAAAACATAACCAATATAATTAACTTACATAGAAGTTTGTTATAAAATATTAATAAGGTCTAAGTTATAAAGCTCAATATTAGTGAGTAGTGACTTATCGGATTGTGTCATTGTTTGAGCATCAGACATAGAAGAAAGAAGGGATTTTGTTGTATTTGAAAGTCTTTTAAGGCAATATTAGTTTAAATGCCATAAATATTCTTTATTCCTTAATCTGATAATTACTTCACTCGTCATTCTATTTTTTTTTTTTTTTTAGGTCTGGTGATGGATCCCGTGACAGTGGAGGATAGCTTTCAATTTCATTGGCTGCTGACTCCCGACTAATTAGACTAGTTAGAGTTAGCTCTGAAAGCAATGTTACAGGGAAGATAGAAGATTATAAATCTTACACCAGTTTATGGTAATTTAAGTCATTGAATTGATTAACTATAAATGGACTAGTGTCGTTGTAACTATAACCCCCGGCGGTTCCAAAGTTATCGATAGCGGCGCTATCCTGGGATAGCTGCCCGGAGCAGTGACCCTCCGCTATTTGATGTTTAGCAGGTAGCAGGAGTGGGGCGCTTCCCAGCCCAAGCGGGTTTGAACTATTTTGAACGCGAAAACACAGATTTACCCTTAAAATAAATAAATCTGGTTTGATTTTACATCTGCTTTTCATTACCTTGGTTTTTTTTAAGTAATAGCCATTTAATAACTCTATTTCTCTTCTTCCTCTTTTATAACTCTATTTCATCTTCCTCTTTTATTTGTTTGGTTTTATACATTAAATATACGTTTTAGACTTTTCATAGAATTAGTCTAAAAAAATAGTCAAATACCGGCTATCCCACTATCCCATTTTTAGGGTTGGCCGCTCCGCTCCGCTATCTAGGAGGGCGGTTTTGGTTCTTGTTCTGGTCCAAACATATTTGAGACTAGAGTACCTTAAAAAATAGACACCTTCAGGGAATCGAACTCTAACTAGATCAACCTACAGATGTTGTTTAAGTTTTATTCCAAACAAACCGAGGAAAAACAGATTGGCATTTTCCATGACATTCTATCAAAAACAACCAAATGAATAATTTTCAACTTTTTTTAAAGGCATATACATATAGTTAAACTGAAGTGAAACAGTTTCAAGGATTGATTAAGTTGCAAGCTTGAACTTAACATTCAAATATATTTTTTCAATAACTTTTTATAAATACCTTTCATATCCTCTGCCTTCGGCTTCTTCATCTTCTTCATCATCATCATCATCATCCTCGTCCTCGTCCTCGTCAAACTCAAACTCACCGGCCTAGATAAACATAATGAAAGTGTCTCAGAAACCAATTAATGAAGAATATGGAAATAACAAGCCCTGAACCACATCAATATGACATAATGATTAAAAAAAAGTGCCTAATAACAACCGAGCAAAGAGCAATCAAATATACCTTATCAAGGTAATCATCATCTTCACTGTCTTGATCTCCCTCCTCACCCTTCTCGTACTTATCTTCCTCTTTCCGTAAATAATCATTCAATTCATCTATTTTCAGAAATTTATCTTCAATGCCACCACCTTCACCTTTCTCCTCTTCACCATCCTCGTCTTCTCCTTCTGATTCAGTTTCTCCTTCTTCCTTCTCCTCTTCTAATCCTTCAAATTCATCCTCGTCTTCGTCAGCTTCATCCAATTCCTCATCAAAACCGTCCCCTTCCTCTCCCCACTTGTTTTGATCCTTTGGCTCCGCCTTGTTAGCAACATCCGAAGAAACCTTCAGCGGCGCAATTTCTTCATGGTTTTTTACCAGCTGATTCAACCGGCGGCGAAGAGTGGATAACAGCGGCTGTGACTGGAGATCAATTTGATGCCAAATCTGCTCAGCATCGTAGCCGTCGACGAGAAGTTGGTCCAGTGGCGATTTTGGGGAGAAGGGTCTGAGGGAGGAGAATAGGTATTTCGATGCAGCACGAGCAGTTTCCGATACCGTTGGATTCGGCACAAGCAATGAAGGTGGTTCTACTTCTTTCAGGCGCCGTAAGGCTTCCACGCCGGAATCATTTGCGCTCGCCATGAATGGGTGTTCTGTATCTCTCTTTCAGGTATAGGAGGGTTTAGGGTTTTAGTTTCGATAATTTACCGGATTGAAAACGCTGCGTTACAAACTCGCTATTTATTTACTTTTTCTTTTTGTACAAATAAAATCTTTATTTCCTTTCTTATTTATGTTACAAACAAAATCTTTATACTAAGAGTCAAACCCGAACAATTTTAGTTTTTGTTTGATTTTACTTTAGTTTTTAATTTTTGAATAATCTTTTATAAACAATTTGAAATTCAATTTCTTTATACAATTTAAATATTAAAAAATTAATCTACTGATTCTTTTTATTTAAAATGTTTAAGAAACACCTAAACATTATTCTTTAAAAAATGGACTAGTACATAAATTTAACCGTGATTTTTTGAGTTAATGTGATGTATTTTCATTTCCCGATTGGACCTAGCGACCTTAGGTTTTGAGTTTCAATCATGAGCTTTGATTTTATATTTATTTTGAATAAAAATAAAATAAATAATAAATATAAATAATTAAAAATAGGTGACATTACTTAATAAATTTTGAAAGAATTTAAGAAAATAGTCGGTGTTTTGCAAATCTCCGAATTTTTAAAATGAGATGAATTTTTTTAAATAGTTATAATAAAACTCAAATATTTCAAATAAATAATAGTTGTAATTAATGGATATTATAAAATATTTTACTGTATATATCTAATCAATTTTTTAAGAAAAAATGAAATAAATAATAAAACTATCAATAATAAATAAACAAATCCTTAAACTGTGAGAATGTTTAAACTGTGGGTCGAGAAAATAGTGGTTTTACAAATCCACAAATTTATTTTTTAAAATTTCAGTCAAATTAATAAATAAATACTTAAATTATGTGAATGGTGATTTTGATTAATAAAAAATAAAAAATATAGTGGATTAGAGGAATGGTGTTTTTCAAATCCACTAATTTATTTATTAAATTTTATTTTTAACAATTTGGAAGTATTTTTAAATTTAAAAAAAAATAATTAATTAATTAAATAAATAAACTCTTAAATCCACTTAATGGTTATATCTCCTGGGAATGTTCAAATTGTGGGTTGTGAGTCAAAATGGGCCAAAGCCCATGGGTCGGTCCAACGAACTAGAAAAAAGTTAGGACTTGCGTCTTATTTTTGGAGTTCATATTATTCTAGGCTTTTTTTAGCCTGATCGGAAAAAGTCCTAAAAAAAATAGGTCAGTCCGTATGGGCTATGTGTAGTGGCTGCCCGAATTTATTTAATTATTTAGTTCATAATTTAATTATTTGGCTTTGGCTACATACAATTCAATAGGTCCAGTCCAAATGATACATCACATAAAATTTGGAATTGATACATCTATACTTATATATAAAGGCAAAACATAATTTTGGTATGGTCTTTTTTCCTTTCAAATATACTTTTTTTCAGTTTTTATTTTAAATCTTAACTTCTCTTTCTAATAGATGGTGATTATGTGACGGTTTATTAACTTTTACACCATTATCTATTACTACTATTTTATAAATAATAAATAATAAAATTAAAATTAAATAAAAATAATAATACGATTTATATTTTACGCATAAAAAGCGGATAGACAGAGTATTCGTCTGGACACTAGTACAAATTAATTACAATACATTTCGGTCCAGACCACTTACATTTTGGAATTGGAATTTGATACTTTATAGTAGCAGAGTTTGATTGAACTGTGACCCAAACACACTAGATCATTACAGTGGCTAGGTCATACTTGATACTTCGATGTTCGCTCTACTTTGTAAGGTTTTTCGTTTAACTTACTTCGCTTGCTTCGTCCAACTTATTTTGCTTGCTTCGTTCTTCTCTTCGCAACGGCTAGGTCATACTTACTTTGCTCAACATCGCTTGTTGCACCTGCTTGCTTCGTACTTCGCTGCGTCTGCTACTTCGTTCTTCCTTAAATGTATTGCATAATGTTATTGAATGTAATAATGAATTTGTTATTGAATGTTTTGTTTTGTTATGTTTGTCTATAAGTAATAATGAATTTGTTATTGAATGTTCTGTTATGTTTGTTCTGTTATGAATCTGGAATAATGAATTTGTTAATAAGTACGATGATTGTTGTTGGTTTTGTGTTGATTTACATGTAGGGATTGGAATTTGTGTTTACTATAAATAACTATAGAAATTAATAGTGATAGTGAGGTTAATGATAGAAAAGTTAGGAAAACTCCACCTGTGCCATTATTTGCTCTGTCTAATGTAATTGATCTTGATGACACTGAAATTAACCAAGAAGAGTCTTCTGAACCAACAACTACTACTACAAAATAAGTCTTTCGTAACACCAATATTACGACGACTATAATGTTAATCGTGGTAATAGATTAATCTTGGGCGCATACTTTTTTATTTATTTACTAGATGATATGTCACAATGGTCAGAAGTAGCAACTGTAGTGAAAAGTACACGGAGTGAAATGGTTCAAATCCTATCAGCAACAGTTAGCGATTTCTCGTGATAAAAAATGTTAGTGGTCATGTATATCACCATGGTTTTTATTTCCAAATGTGATGAAATATGATATTTATTTATATATAAGCAAAGTTATATATCGCTTCAGTATATAAAATTTGTCTCTCTCAAAACAAAATTCTAACAACTCTTTCACCGCCTCTTAAAACGAAACCCTAATAACTTTATCACCTATCTCTCTCATATGAAAACCACAGAACGAAACCATAACAACAAATCTTAGCCAATGGGTATTTACAGGTTTGTTTTCTCTGGAGTTTTTTTTTTCAAAATTTGTTTCAATAGCTTGTTTCATGATGTTTGAACTTTCTTCTTTTTTTTTATCTTGTTGGTATGGATGCTTATTGCAATAAAGAGGATGAAGATAAATTTAGTCTGTCAAACTTGTGTCAAAGGTCCAGAATGACATACACTCAAAATATACACACACATTATTATGGGACTTGACATGTATGGTATGTTTTTGAAGCATTTTATGCCTTGATGTGTTTGTTGTATTGTGTTTGTTGGTTATTGTTTGTTGTTGATGAATGTTTTTGATGAATGTTTCAAATATGAGTTTATTATATATTATGTGGTTTGAGTATTTTTCCAATTTCTTACCGAATATATAACTTCCCAAACTGCATTAAGTATTCTTCACCGTTAACTGCGTGTTGTTCTTTGACCGTTAGAACTTGGTTTAGTGGTTGTAGATCTTCAAAAACCCATCTCTCCACCTCTAATTTTGCTTGCAAAGTAAATAATATTTTGCAAAAAAAAAAATTAGAGTTGAATTCAGGGGTTGTTGAAGAACAAGGATCAGTAGACCAAGTTCTGACTGTCAAAGAACAAAATATGGATAAGGAGTTGAAGAACCTTTGTCAAGCATTAAATGTGTACTTATTCTTCTAATATACCTTAATTTGTCATATTATAATGTTCTAGTGCAAATTGGAAGGTTATATGTTTAGCGAGCATTGGCGAAATAAGCATTTCACATAATTTATAATAAACTTATGGCTATATACAACAACGATTATCTAGAACAATAGTTGTTAAATATGTTGCATTTTAATATACCACAACGGTTGCTTAAAGTAACCGTTGTGGTAGGTAGCATGCTACATGGATACAATTATGGTCGCACGTCCATGGTTGAAATCATCATACATACAATCACACCTTACGTCATAACGGTTAGACCTGCGTGATGGTATCCTTTTTTCCAACTGTTGTGATATGAATTTTCCGTAGTAGTGTACCAAAAAACAAAAGACCCTTACATCTGAAGTGTGAAACATTTTTTAAAGGTTGGGGTTATAGATGATAAAGAGAAATGTAAATGTAAGAGTTGTGGAAAATTAATGAGTTGTGCTACAACTAATGGAACTTCTCATTTAACTCATCATGTAAACAATTGTAAGTTTATTCCAAAATTTTACGATGTTAGTGATATGATACTTGTTAGCCAAGGAAGATTGAGAAAGAAAAAATTTGATCCTAAGGTTAACTGTGAGATATTTGCTGAAATGGTGATTACACACGGAGTACCATTTAACTTTGTTGAATATAGGGCTTTTAGGAAATATAAACAAAATTTGAATGAGGATGAGAAACGAAAGTTTAAGTCATAGTTGACTCAAATTAGGGGGAGAGTTTGTTTGACTTCTGATAGTTGGACTGCATGCGCTAATGAAGGTTATATTTTTTTTAACTGCTCATTATATTGATGAGAATTGAAAGTTGCAAAATAAGATTTTAGCTTTTACTCAATGGCACCCCTACATACTTGGCTAGAATTAGTATTAAAGGTGTTGAAAATATTAAGTGATTGGGGTATAGAGAAGAACATTTTTCCATCACTTTGGACAATGTCTCTGCAAATGATATAACATGCAAATATTCTTGAAATAACACTTAGGATTATCAAATAACTTGTTATTTAAGGGAAAGTTCTTTCGTATTCGTAGTTGCGCACACATTTTGAATCTCATTGTTCAAGATGGACTGAAGGTAGTTGGTGATGAATTGTATAAATCCACTAAATTATTTTCTAAATTTTATTTTAAAATTTTCAGAAAAATAATAAATAAATATGTTTTTAAATAATGGGAATGGTGATTTTGGTTAATAATAAATAAATAAAATAAATAGTAGATATTGAGATTGGTGTTTTACAAATCATGAATTTTTAAAAAAATTTAAATTATGGGAATGATCCATGATGGTTTAAGTTAATATGGTGTGATACGAGCTCACCAGTAGCAAGCCCAATACATGCTGAGGAAAGGCCTAACAATGAGGAGGTAGAAGTGGGTCCAATAGTGGAAAAGAGGCAATCAAAGAAACCCTATTGGATGAAGGATTATGTGCGCAAGTAGTAGAATTCTTTGGTGATGTCAGCTGCACTTAATTACATTCTGTTATTTCCTTTTCCTTTTTTTAGGAAAGTTGTTATGCCAAGTTGAACATATATGTTGTAAGGTTGA